AATATAAGTAAAAAGAAAGAGCAATCAGTTTTTTTTTATTATAAAAAGAATCTTCTAGGGTTAAAAGTTTTATTAGCCTTTTAAAAAGAAATGAATTTCATATTGCTTATATTGGTATCAGTTAAGATTATTTAAGAATTTCTCTAGGGGAACATTGTTGATACCTATGAAGAAAAGTATATTAAGCAGAATTTAAGATCAATAGGTAAGGATCTATGTCTTAAGAATTACAAAATGCTGATGAAAGAAATCAAAGAAGACCTAAACAAATGGCGAGATATACCACATTCATGGATTAGAAAACTCAACATAATAAAGATGTCAATTCTCCCCAAACTGATATACTGTTTTAATGCAATGCCTATCAGAATCCCAAAAAGGTTTTTTGTAGACAGACAAACTTACTCTAAAACTTATAATGGAAAAGTATAGGCCTTATAATACTAAAATTATTTTTAAAAAGAAGAATAAAATGGGAAGACTTACTCAACTCAAGGCAAAGGCTTGCCATATAGCTATAGTCAAAAAGTCAGTGTGGCATTGCCTCGGGACAAAGAGACCAACAGAATGGAGCACAGAACTCAGAAGTGGACCCACAAAATCATGCCCAACTGATTTTCTACAAAGGTGCAGAAGCAACAAATGAGATATTTGATAACAATTTCATGGATATGACTCTAAAGCCAACAAAAAATAAATAAACTGGACTTCATCAAAATAAAGAATTTTTGTGCATCAAAGGACACAATCAAAAGAGTAAAAAGGCAACCACACCATGAGAGATAATATTTGCAAATCATAAATCTGAGATGATATTGATACCCACAATATATAAACAACTCCTAAGACTCAACAACAAATAGTAAAAAAAAAACCCTGATTAACCTAAAAATGGGCAAAGGTGTAACACCAAGATCAAAGGGTTTGATCCCCATACTGGCCAGCCATCCCTTCCCCCACCCAAAAATGGCAAATGATCAGAATAGACATTTCTCCAAAGAAGATAAACAAATGGCCAATAAACACCTGAGAAGATGCTCAACATCCCTAGTTATCAGGGAAATGCAAATCAAAACCACAGTGAAATACCACTTCACATCCATTAGGATGGCCATTATCAAAAAAAACCCCATAAAATAACAAGTGTTTGCAAGAACATAGAGAAACCAAAACCCTTGTGTACCACTAGTGGGAATGCAAAAAGTATAGAACTGTGGAAAACAGTATGGTAATTCCTCAAAAAAATTAAAAATAAAGTTACCATTTGATCCAGCAATCACACCTCTAACCGTATACCCAAAACCACGGAAAGCAGGGACTCCCAACAGATATTGTACATCAGTGTTCACGGCAG